ACGACGGCCTGCCGGAGCCTCTGGACCTGGCCCTGGAAGGTGAGAGGGTGCAGGGAGGGGAAGGCTGGGCTCTTTGGCAGGCTGGGAGGTGGTGGGAGAGGAATCTGGCCCCAGATGTGTCCAGGTGTGAGCAAGCCTGAGCTTTCATCCATTGGTTTTTCCAGTGTTTGAGGTTGGTGCAGCTGCAGGGACCAGAGCACAGAACTGACTTCAGGGGATGGAAAGTACAGAGTCCCATCCCAAGAGTTGGCCGATCCTCATGAAATGCCCCCAGATCCCCTCTTAGGCCTTCCCCCTTCCTTGCCCCCAGCACCAGAAACAGATTTCCTTTTGTTCACAATTCCTAAAGTACAAGAATCAGAAGGAGTCTGGTTGCCCCTTTTCTGAAGGAAAATTTTGACTAAAATGGATGAAGTGCAGCCGACTTCAGGAAATGCAGAGAGTGGCTGGACTGATGCATCAGGAGTCAGAAAAGAGGCTAAGAAGTCTGAGTTTCATTGTCATCAGAGACTAACAGGGTTTCCTGCTTTCAAGGTCAAGAGGTCACTGTGTGTTTCTTCTCTAAGAAAGAAGTTGCACCTTATTTTATGATCTGATATGTGAATTCCTGAGGCTCAGCATAAAACCCAAGGAAAAAAGCCCTCTTTCAAAGAGTTCTGTATATGCTCAGAAGTGTCCTTAACATACACTGGACTTCCAAAGTGGCAAAATTCACATTCAATTTTTTTTATTGATGATTGTCACTGTGATACAAGAAATATTCAAATGTAATTGTTATGCTGATATCCCAGGCAAAATAAAATATTCCTTTTATTTTTGTTGCTGTTTATACCAAGCACCAAATTCACAAGTGGAATGATTGCTATTCTATGCAAATCCTGAATTTTGTGCAAGAGAAATTTAAATTTAAACTTCCCTCCTCAAACCTGCTTCCCCCTCAAGCAATACCCCTTTATAATGCCTTGGTGAGACCATCTGTGGAATTCTTCATCCAGTTTTGGTTGCCACGATATAGAAAAGATGTTGAGACTCTGGAAAAAGGGCAGAGAAGGGCAAGAAAGATGGTTAGGAGCCTGGAGGCCAAAATCTATGAAGAGCAGTTGCAGGAATTGGGCATTTCTGGTTTAATGAAAAGAAGGACTGGGGGTGACATGAGACGTCCCAATATCTCAGGGGCTGCCACAAAGAAGAGGCAGTCAAGCTATTCTCCAAAGCACCTGAGGGCAGGACAAGAAGCCATGGGTGGAAACTAAACAAGGAGAGAAGCAACCTAGAACTGAGGAGAAATTTCCTGACAGGGAGGACAATTAATGAGAGGAATGGCTTCCCTTCAGAAGTTGTGGTTGCTCCATCACTGGAAGCATTTAAGAAGAGACTGGAGAGCCACTTGTCTGGAATGTTTTAGGGCCTCTTGTTTGAGCAGGGGGTCAGACTGGAAGACCTCCACGGTCCTCTCCAACTCTGTTATTCCATTATTCTATTTCTGCCATTTGTGGGACCATCCAGAAGCTGGATATCACCCTGTTCCATTTTCATTCTGACATTCTGGAAGTACAAATTAAAATTTTATGCTAGTTCTGGACTAGCCAAAGAAATGAAAGTGTGTACTTCACAAAACAAGTCTAGGTGTTACGAACTATTTTACTTTAAATAATAAAATGCAAAAATAGATCTGCCCAATTCCCAAAATGTTTTTGTTTAAGAAATTTGGTTTATTTTATTGTGTTGGGGACCCTTTTGTTTTGTAAGCTGCTGAGAGTCACAAGGTGGCAAAGGGCTGCTTTTGAGTCGAAAAGCCAAAGATGAATCCAGCTGCCTTCATGCTGGGCTGGTGGGAGAAGGAGGTAGCATCAGGAGGACACGTCCTCTAACAACGGTTAGCAAGGCGCCTTCACGTTACCCTGAGAGGGACACAAAAATGAGCCCATGGAGATTTTAATTTTGGGAAATTTCCAGCTTTCATTTCTTTAGGTCTCTTCCCTGATTGGGAAGTTTGTTTGGGCTTCTGCTTCAATGATCTGCTCTTTCTCCCAATTCAGAACCAAAATCCAACCTGGGGATCATCATTGGCTGCGTTGTGGCTGCTCTTGTCCTGGCGGGTGTGATTGCTGGGATCCTGGTATTCTTCAGTAAGTGTCTTTTTCTGAGGGGGGGTGATGGAAGGACCCCCTTTGGGGAGCTTCTTCTGGGCTTCCTTCTGTCCTGTTTTCGTAGCCCTCTGAGATCTGGGTCTGTGAAGTATCTCCTGAGGTTCTTCCTCTTACAGAGGGAGAGTTTGGATGATCTCTGGTGGATTCTTCTGAGCTTTCCCTGATT